ACGTAGACATAAGGGAATTAGACATTCACTGGTACAGACAGCACACAGCACTAGTGAGCCAAGAACCTGTCATATATTCTGGCAGCATACGTGAGAACATTTTGTTTGGGAAGCAAGATGCAACTGAGAATGAAGTAGTTGAGGCTGCAAGAGCTGCAAATGCTCATGAATTCATATCGTAAGTTTTCTCTCTACATGTATACTACACGCTCTCTTGTTTTAACCATAAACTGTCAAATTCATTTCTGAGAAGTTAATGTACAATAAAATTTGACAAAGCTGCTTCATGGTTAGTCTTTTAAGAATGTTGTCGATGTTTAATTCTTGATCTATACAACCAAAAAGGACTATTCTTTTACAAGCAAAGATCATCACATGTTCAATATCTTTGAAAAACCTTAATCTTTCAAGTTACAACCACTTTATAAACTCTTTCAACTAGCTTTTGGAACTATTTGATGAGTAAAGAAGTGAATTTTTCATTTGGGTATGGTGTAGATCACTGAAAGATGGATATGAAACTGAATGTGGAGAAAGGGGAGTGCAGCTATCAGGAGGGCAAAAGCAGAGAATAGCAATTGCAAGAGCCATAATTAGGAACCCAAAGATACTACTTTTGGATGAGGCAACAAGTGCATTGGATGTGCAATCAGAACAAGTTGTGCAGGAAGCACTTGATAGGACTATGGTAGGAAGAACCACCATTGTTGTGGCACATAGGCTTAACACTATCAAAGAGCTTGATTCGATTGCTTATGTGTGTGAAGGCAAGGTCCTCGAGCAAGGAACCTATGCTCAACTTAGGCACAAGAGAGGTGCCTTCTTCAACCTTGCCAGCCATCAAATCCAAACTTAGCTACCATGATTGTATAATTTTCATGTACAAACTTCAGTTCATCAAGAAATCTATAGGTCTTTTATTTATATATTCTATATAAAAAAAATAGTATATGCCCTCTTTCATTATGAAAACGTTAATTCAGAATGATGGTTTCACATTCATAATTATCTAATCTCAAATTTAAAAGGGTTGTCCCATTTTTGTGGAAAGGTTAGAAGATTTTACTTTGCACAATTTGAAAAGGGTAAAATTGGAAATTTATTTATTTGAGGATACAAGAAGAAAGTTATGGAGGGGGCAGAAAAAAGAACACTGCCAATTGGTTGGTCAATGTTTAGGCCCATCTGAGGTGTATTGGGTTTGAAGGCCCGTATTATGTTCAAATGGGCTTGTGCAAGTGTTGTAAAAGGATACGACCCGGATCCAATATGAAATATGTCATTCGTTTGATACCGATGTTAAATTTTTTTAAATATACGTGGTATTCATGCAGCGTTGTTTTAGAATATCGGTAAATATTTTTTAAATAAATATTTATAAAGATTTTTTTTGCTAATTGAGTAATAAGTAGATATTATTCATATCCTACTTATTATTTATATAAAAACCAAACTATTACTTTTATATTTTAGATTAAAAATAGCATCAATATCTTGTGTAAATTAAATTTATGATTTACTTCTTAACCATAATTCTAAAACATGAAAATTATGAGATCCTATATAAAGTACTTAACTTATGATTATTATGAATTAATTAGTTACACTCCCATTTAGTAAGTATTCAGTCTTTGAATAGTACAATTAAAAGTAAACTTATAATTCATTTGACACAATATTCAATAAAATATGATTATTAATCAATTGAATGATAATTATATCATCATTAATCATAAAGTCAATAAAAAATATAAATATAAATTTAAGATAATAAGATACATAATTTGAATTTATTTATCACTAATATTCAAATTAACTCTAACTTTGAAGCGTCTTCTATACATACTCGATTGATTTGAATAGACTAAAAATAAATTTTAGAGTAACAATTACAAAAAGTTTAAACAGGTGGCTATTAGCATTGAAATAATTCTTAAATATTAAAAAGATTCCATAGATGTTGACTTCAACCTACCACTCAAAATAAAAAAAAAAAAAAAAAAACTATTATTCAAAAATTTATTTGCGTACCATGTGTTGATTGATTTGATACGTGGCGCCCATACAGCCTCCCATCACTGCTATATGCATGCATGCCATAGCAAATTTTAAACTATTATTTAACAAAATAAAGTGTTTTGAACTAGTAATAATGAGAGTTTTTAGTACAAACTTTATATTATATTTTTCTAAATCATGTTTTTATTATTTATTCAAGATATAAAATCTTCAAAAAAATTAATTAAGTATAATCTAAGATCTACAACATTTTCTAATTTCAACAATAATAACGTTTTAAATATTTCATAAGTTTTGATATTTTAATGAAGTCTTTATAATAACTTATTTTATTTAGTATTTAAAATAATTTTTTAAGTATTCTATTATTTTTGTCGTCAATAAATATTGCTTTTATTATTTTATTTTTATCTTTCACTCATCAATCAACTAAGGGTTAAATATGTTTTTAGTCCCTAAATTATTAGTCGTTTCTGGTTTTCGTCCCTCTTTCAAAATAAGGTACAATTTAGTCCTCATTCTTTTCGAAACGTTCGTTTTAGTCCTCAAAAACTAACACCGTTAAAAATTTGGTCCTCATTTAGTCAACGGACTAAAACCAAAATTCCGAGGACTAAAACGAACGTTTCGAAAAGAATGAAATCAAATTGTACCTTATTTTGAAAGAGGAACAAACCACGGCCAATAGTTTAGGGACTAAAAACATATTTAACCCAACAACTAATTTATTTATTTTTTTAATCTTCTTCTTGGTTAACTCATTTTTAAAAGAGAAAGAAAACTATCAATGTTTCTTTTATTTAATATTTTTAACTTTCTGGTCAACTATTGTAATGTCTAAACATATTTCCTATCATTAGTGGTATCTTAACATCCTATAAAATAAATTTATTTAATATTATCATTCTTTGGTTTGATATTTCTAACCCATCTTGTTTAATCATTACTTGTTATTTAATTTATATTTATATATTAGTTATTTTTTAATTATACTTGTTATTTTCATTTGATTGATAACTAAATATTTTCTTCTCATAATTTTTTCTTATTTTTTATGCTTGCATATAAAAGTATTTAATATTTAAGATTTAATAAAATTATAGTTTGAGATTTAATCATAAATATTTAAATGAGTAGATATTAGATAAGATGAATAATCTTGAGTTATTTTGTTAATCATGGTAAAATTTATTTATTCGGATATGAAATTGTTATATATATATATATATATATATATATATATATATATATATATATATATATATATATATATATATATATATATATATATATATATATATATATATATATATATATATATATATATATATATGAACTTTTATCTTGATTTATTAATAAAGTGTAATAAATAATTATATACAACGACGAAATAAATGTTACATTTTCCCGATGTTGAAAAATAAACATGAGTTAAATTTTGGTTTCTTAATATAAAACGTTTTAATATAAATGAATAACTATAACGTGTCTCTAAACTAGTATTTTTCAACTTTTGTACGACTATCATTGTTATAGTCATTAATTTTAAATCCATTACCAAATAAAGGAATAAACTTTAAATAATTTTGTTATCAATTTAATAGTTTAGAAGATGCAATTAGACTTTAAGTATATTTCTTATCAATTTTTATTTTTTATTTCATATTAATATTAAATATTTCAAATCAATTATGTCAAAGCAACAAGGAAAAAAATCCTCTCATTTGAATGAAAAATATACTATAATTTAGATTTTTGCATAGAACTCTCAGTATTTAATTAATCTCTAAATTCTTTGCTGTCACTAGGTCTACACAGAATTATTCACATTTCAAGTGAATAGTTTTTACATCTATTGAGTCAAATGAAAATATTTGATGAAAAATTTAGAAAGACAATACACATTTTTTAAACATCTTTAAAATACACTTTATTATTAATTAAAACACCCTAAAAGGTAGAAGTAGAAGATTAAATAAAAAGTGAAACTAAAAATGATATTAAACGAATTTCAATTAATCATAAAATATATATTTTTTTAAATATATTTTCCTCTCATTTCTTAATTAGAAAACTAGGCTTGAGTGTGAGTTTTTCCATATAAACTCAAACCGTAATGTGTTTTGGAATGGTGCTCTTACGTTACGTATTTTATAATCACTAAAATACAAAATAAACATTCTAATCGATACTTAAGTCAACTTATAATAATAATTAAGCAATACCATTAAAATTTAACATTTATGGAAAATGCAATAATTTTTACAAGTTTTATATTTAAATTTTATTTATTAATTATACTTGTTATTTCCAATTTTTATTCATGTAATAGTCTTCTATGCTGAATAATCAAGAAATTATCAACAAAGATAGAAAACAGAAATTAAAAAAAAAAAACACATTTTCAAACCGAAGTTGTTGAAGTCATGAAAAAACAATAAAAAAAATAAATAATGGTTGTTTAGACAACTATATTTGACTTAACCCTATCATTACAAAAGATCTCATTGTCAAACTCAATTTACATAAACTCCAAAATATAAGAAAAATGCTTTAAATAAATTTTATCCAAATATTTAGCATAATTATATACTTAAAACTCAAATTCAAACTACTAGTTCAACTAAACCAAGAGTCTTGTCAACCCGTGTTTGTTTAAGAATAAAAGTTTACAAAGTAAATAAAAAAAATAAGATTTTACTAAAAATAATCACTTTTAACTCTAACAAGTCTTCTTAAAACATAAATTAAGAATGATTAACATAATGACTTGAAACAGTGATTAAATACCCAATAATAAATATTATGGTAAAAATCTTGTCCAACTTACAACAATTACATAACCACAGACAAACAAAAATTGAACACTATAAACTACTGTCTTAATATATATTTTTTGAAAATACTACTAAACTATATATATATATATATATATATATATATATATACTTTACTTGCCCATATGATCTGGATAAGGACAAAATACCAAACATGGGAAGACAGAGCACACAATTCTCTGCCCTCAACTGCATCGACATATCCAACCCCGACATCAACCAATCCGTTCGTTTACTCAAACAGGTTTGCTCTTTTCCTCTGTTTCATCTCTCTGTTTTCTTGTGATCTTATGTTGTTGTTTTGTTTCAGGCGTGTTTGGATTCGGGTTTTTTCTACGTTGTCAACCATGGCATAAGCCAGGAATTCATGGACGAGGTTTTTTCACAGAGCAAGAAGTTTTTCTCTCTTCCCCTTGAGGAAAAGATGAAGATTCTCAGGAATGAAAAACACAGGGGATATACCCCTGTTCTTGATGAACTTCTTGATCCTGAAAATCAACTTCATGGTATGTATGCAGTACCCATTTTGGAATTTTCTGCTTGTTTGCATGGATTCCACCACCCCGTTTTCTTATTCCTCTTTTTCATGATTCTGGACGGAGAAGACTTAGACGGTTGCTTTTGGTTTTACTGTCTTGTCAGAATTGAAGTTTTGCATGTAAAATCTATATTGATATTGATGTTTGATGCAAACATTTGTCACGTATTACCGAAATAAACCGTCAATTCTAATTAAAAATCAACACAAAAGAGTACAGAAAGAACTGTATCTACCAAAATTGAAGCTTTGCATAAAAGATCTATGCTGATGTTTCATGTAAGCCTTTACTGTGCAAAGTATTACAATAAATTCTAATTGTAAAGCACTAGAAGTTTTGAAACAACCGTGTGCAAGTTTTGTCTTTCAAAACCTTAATAACCTCTTCTCTGCTTGGTTAAATAGGAGACTATAAAGAAGGGTATTATATTGGAGTTGAAAAAGGTGAAGATGACCCAGAATCGAAGAAGCCTTTCTATGGTCAGAATAGATGGCCTGCACCAGGTAAAAGAGTCAACTTTTAAGTCTTCGAGACTTTTGGAGACAAAAAGTCTGTTTTCTACCAATTGAGTCTTCCAACATTTTGGATTTTATTTTCTTGAACTTTTTTCCTATGTAGATGTTTTGCCGGGGTGGAGAGAGACCATGGAAAAGTTCCATCGAGAGACATTGTACATTTTACTGATGGTTTATTTATTTATTTTTGTCCTAAGATGCTATCTCAGCTCTGCTAGTATGTTTTTTGATAATCTGTGTTGCATGTGAACTAGTTAACTGTAAGTTTGTTTCTGACTCACCGTACTTTATGAAAACCTTGGTCTTTAATAGATGAAGCAAGACTTTGAATTGCAGTTATGATTTTGACATTTTTTTATAATTCAGACATCTGCTACCTGTGCAGTCACTCTACTGTCTTGAACATCATGTTTTGCTCAAAATCATGATCATTGACTGTTTTTTAAAACCCTGATATGAAGCAGTGTTTGGTTTTCATTTCAACAAAACGATTTCCATTGTGTTTCTTGTTGGCTGTTCTTCCTCTCCCTGGTGGGAGGGGATCAAGGTCTTACTTTTTTCATTTTCTTGTCAATGTTATTTAGTCCCTTCCCATGAAGGAAACTATAGATCATGTTTAACTGCCTTGGTTGTTCACATGGACTCAAATTCTGCATTGGGGGAAAAGGGATTCAATTTTTTTTTCTCTAGTAATTTGTTTCTGCCTGTTTTTGTTGGGTAATCCAGAGAAGTGGGGAAAGCTGTTGCAAAGATAATAGCCCTTGCACTTGATTTGGATGAAAAATTTTTTGACCAGCCAAAAATATTCGGAGAGCCAATTGCAATTCTGCGTTTGCTGCGCTATGAAGGTATTGTATGTGATATTCTTCGAAAGAAGTATTGTAAGACTAATGTAGAAAGTCACAAATTCCGAACCAGTACCACGTGGTCGCTGTGTCTGGTACAATTGCAAAGAAAAAAAAAACTTACACGGTTGTATTCATCTATGTTCAATGAAGGTCAAATCTCAGACCCCTCGAAAGGATTATATGGAGCTGGTGCTCATACTGACTTTGGTTTAATTACACTGTTGGCAACAGATGATGTTTCAGGCCTTCAAGTAAGAAGGCAAATGATTTTTTTTCTTCAATATTACAAAAATTTGTGTGTTATGAACTTAGAGCAACAATGTCTTTCATTGTAGATATGCAAAAATAGGGATGCTAAACCTCAGATATGGGAGGATGTAGCACCATTGAAGGGGTTAGTCCATATGTCATTGTAGCTTTCATTTCTATTTTCATGCAACACAGTTGTGAGAATCCTTATTTCTTCATCCCTACGTTTTAATTCATGAGTTAATTTCTAAACTTCTTCAGACACTCCCTTGTTCTTTCAAGATTATTTTTTCCTGGATTTTTTATGGTAATCAGTTTTTGTCATTCATACAAATCTATAGATGGGATGATGTGAGAAGCCATACTTTTCATTTGACAGTATCACTAACGCACAAAACAATTCATTCATTGCTACTAGGTTTTAATTTTATTACCTTTGTCATGCCCTTCTGAATTATATGACATTATCTAACAGACTGCTTATATTGCAGAGCCTTCATTGTGAATCTTGGTGACATGCTGGAGCGCTGGAGCAACTGTGTTTTCAAGTAAGAAATCTTTCCCACTTTCGAATATTTCTAATTTTGAATGAAGGCAGGCATACTTCTGAGATTAGAGAAATTCAAAAGACAGATATTGATTTGTGTTATGAGCTACTACTATTACTATTCTCTAGAGAAAATGTAAGCTTCAGTAGAAGCTTATACACAAGTGATTTGTGATTAGTAGTTTTATGAATATGTGATAGGACCTTTGGTGTATTCTCATAGGGCATTTTTTTCTTTGAAATTTTGTAATCAGCAAATTACGTTGTATTTATGCTCAGGTCCACACTGCACAGAGTTCTAGGAAATGGTCAAGAAAGATATTCTGTAAGTCCCAGCTTTTTTTACTCTTTACCTTCTGTCATTTATATTCATAGCAAAATCGGTATTAAATTGTTTAATACATAATATATTTAGCCTTCCTGAAGACCTCAATATTTATTCGTATCTCAGTACTTATCTGGTCAAAACATATATAGTATTTCAATATTTATCTTGTGGTCTTGTGGTTCTCCATTATCTTCTGCCATCATTGGAATTCATAATGCTAAGGACAATTATTGGGCTACTGGTTACAGCTCCCAGGATTGACTTCTGTCACGGTCGTTGGTTTTTCCAGCACAGTCGGTCTTCCCTTTTTTTATTCATTGATAGCGACAATATGAACCATCACTATGTTATTATATTCCAAAATTTGGTCTCTTTCTAGATTATGCATCTATGTATATCATATCAGTTTTAACTTGCAAAGCTTGGCAAAATCATGCAACATGCTCATCACTGTGCTGTTTCCTTTTACAGATTGCATACTTCTTGGAGCCAAGTCATGACTGTCTAGTAGAGTGCTTGCCAACCTGCAAATCTGATAGTAATCCTCCTAAGTAAGTTAAACATGCCATCTAAAAATTAGCAGCATAGTGTATGTTAGAAAGTTAATCTCACATTCAGATTCCATCCTTCCATTCTGAGGCATGTTTGTTTGGTCGATAGAGTACTAAAACAGGCCATTTATAATATAAAGCAATGTGCATGAAATTGCCTAATTGTTCACCCAAATGTTATGTAGATAAATCAATAGGAAGCAACCACGGTATAAAATCTGTGCTGTTTGTAGAGGCTCTTAACATCTTTGCATTTTTCTCTTTTACCAGATTTCCTCCCATCTTATTCCAGGACTACCTGACTCAACGCTACAAGGACACTCATGCTGATCTGAAATTTACAAGAAACAGCAAGCTTGAATAGTCAACCTTTGGAACTGAACAGCCTAGTGTTTTTTCACAAAAACACTCACTTACACTGATTTGGATATTTACCAACAAGAAGCTTAGGAAGTTTGCTTTTGGAGCTGAGTAGCCAGGAAATTTTGAACTGCATATTGTTTTAGAGACAACAGCATCATATGTTAAACATGTTATTTAGATTTTGTTGGGATAGTCCTGGGGAAGGGGTGGGAAGATAGCTACATGGTTTGGTATTTATTGCTGCAAGCTAAAAGAAAAACATAAATGAAATCAAAAGCTCTTTCTTTCTAAAGTGACCTCCTAAAGCATTAGATGAAAAATCAAAGAGAAGAAAAGCATGGGTCATCAAACAGTTTTAGTAACAGTATGATTGATTCACTATTGAAAGAAATTATTTTTATCTTTCCATGTTGTGAATCCATAAAGTACCAAAGTGATTTTTTACTAGATTTCAAAGATACTACTAAAAGTTGATTTGCAATTCAACTGTTACAATAATTACTTCTGCTTGAACTTGTTAATAATTATTAAAGTATCTTGTCTGTAATACATAAGCAAAAACGTTTGATTAATCTCGACACTTAATTATCTCTCTTAGATTTCATCAATAACTTCAAATGACAAGAAAGAAAAATGTTTGATATCATTCAAGCTTAACAGCTTCTAATTAATAAACAAGAATCAGACAATTGTTTTAACCATAAACTGTCAAATTCATTTCTGAGAAGTTGATGTACAATAAAATTTGACAAAGCTGCTTCTTGGTTAGTCTTTTAAGAATGTTGTCAATGTTTAATTCCTGATCTATACAACCAAAAAGGACTATTCTCTTACAAGCAAAGATCATCACATGTTCAATCTTTTTGAAAAACCTTAAATCTTACAAGCACTTTATAAACTCTTTTAACCAGCTTTTGGAACTAGTTGATGAGTAAATAAGTGAATTTTCCATTTGGGTAAGATGGATATGAAACTGAATGTGGAGAAAGGGGAGTGCAACTATCAGGAGGGCAAAAGCAGAGAATAGCAATAACAAGGGCGATAATTCGGAACCCAAAGATACTACTTTTGGATGAGGCAACAAGTGCATTGGATGTGCAATCAGAACAAGTTGTGCAGGAAGCACTTGATGGGACTATGGTAGGAAGAACCACCATTGTTGTGGCACATAGGCTTAACACTATCAAAGAGCTTGATTCGATTGGTTATGTGTGNGGGGGAAAAGGGATTCAATTTTTTTTTCTCTAGTAATTTGTTTCTGCCTGTTTTTGTTGGGTAATCCAGAGAAGTGGGGAAAGCTGTTGCAAAGATAATAGCCCTTGCACTTGATTTGGATGAAAAATTTTTTGACCAGCCAAAAATATTCGGAGAGCCAATTGCAATTCTGCGTTTGCTGCGCTATGAAGGTATTGTATGTGATATTCTTCGAAAGAAGTATTGTAAGACTAATGTAGAAAGTCACAAATTCCGAACCAGTACCACGTGGTCGCTGTGTCTGGTACAATTGCAAAGAAAAAAAAAACTTACACGGTTGTATTCATCTATGTTCAATGAAGGTCAAATCTCAGACCCCTCGAAAGGATTATATGGAGCTGGTGCTCATACTGACTTTGGTTTAATTACACTGTTGGCAACAGATGATGTTTCAGGCCTTCAAGTAAGAAGGCAAATGATTTTTTTTCTTCAATATTACAAAAATTTGTGTTATGAACTTAGAGCAACAATGTCTTTCATTGTAGATATGCAAAAATAGGGATGCTAAACCTCAGATATGGGAGGATGTAGCACCATTGAAGGGGTTAGTCCATATGTCATTGTAGCTTTCATTTCTATTTTCATGCAACACAGTTGTGAGAATCCTTATTTCTTCATCCCTACGTTTTAATTCATGAGTTAATTTCTAAACTTCTTCAGACACTCCCTTGTTCTTTCAAGATTATTTTTTCCTGGATTTTTTATGGTAATCAGTTTTTGTCATTCATACAAATCTATAGATGGGATGATGTGAGAAGCCATACTTTTCATTTGACAGTATCACTAACGCACAAAACAATTCATTCATTGTAAAATGACACTTATCTGCACAACTTATATATTTCTGAAATTTTAGTTCTTTTTTAGCTGTATTATGCCAATTACTAAGCATAATTGGCTGCAAAGACAAGAAGTATATATGCTACTAGGTTTTAATTTTATTACCTTTGTCATGCCCTTCTGAATTATATTACATTATCTAACAGACTGCTTATATTTCAGAGCCTTCATTGTGAATCTTGGTGACATGCTGGAGCGCTGGAGCAACTGTGTTTTCAAGTAAGAAATCTTTCCCACTTTCGAATATTTCTAATTTTGAATGAAGGCAGGCATACTTCTCATATTAGAGAAATTCAAAAGACAGATATTGATTTGTGTTATGAGCTACTACTATTACTATTCTCTAGAGAAAATGTAAGCTTCAGTAGAAGCTTATACACAAGTGATTTGTGATTAGTAGTTTTATGAATATGTGATAGGACCTTTGGTGTATTCTCATAGGGCATTTTTTTCTTTGAAATTTTGTAATCAGCAAATTACGTTGTATTTATGCTCAGGTCCACACTGCACAGAGTTCTAGGAAATGGTCAAGAAAGATATTCTGTAAGTCCCAGCTTTTTTTACTCTTTACCTTCTGTCATTTATATTCATAGCAAAATCGGTATTAAATTGTTTAATACATAATATATTTAGCCTACCTGAAGACCTCAATATTTATTCGTATCTCAGTACTTATCTGGTCAAAACATAAATAGTATTTCAATATTTATCTTGTGGTCTTGTGGTTCTCCATTATCTTCTGCCATCATTGGAATTCATAATGCTAAGGACAATTATTGGGCTACTGGTTACAGCTCCCAGGATTGACTTCTGTCACGGTCGTTGGTTTTTCCAGCACAGTCGGTCTTCCCTTTTTTTATTCATTGATAGCGACAATATGAACCATCACTATGTTATTATATTCCAAAATTTGGTCTCTTTCTAGATTATGCATCTATGTATATCATATCAGTTTTAACTTGCAAAGCTTGGCAAAATCATGCAACATGCTCATCACTGTGCTGTTTCCTTTTACAGATTGCATACTTCTTGGAGCCAAGTCATGACTGTCTAGTAGAGTGCTTGCCAACCTGCAAATCTGATAGTAATCCTCCTAAGTAAGTTAAACATGCCATCTAAAAATTAGCAGCATAGTGTATGTTAGAAAGTTAATCTCACATTCAGATTCCATCCTTCCATTCTGAGGCATGTTTGTTTGGTCGATAGAGTACTAAAACAGGCCATTTATAATATAAAGCAATGTGCATGAAATTGCCTAATTGTTCACCCAAATGTTATGTAGATAAATCAATAGGAAGCAACCACGGTATAAAATCTGTGCTGTTTGTAGAGGCTCTTAACATCTTTGCATTTTTCTCTTTTACCAGATTTCCTCCCATCTTATTCCAGGACTACCTGACTCAACGCTACAAGGACACTCATGCTGATCTGAAATTTACAAGAAACAGCAAGCTTGAATAGTCAACCTTTGGAACTGAACAGCCTAGTGTTTTTTCACAAAAACACTCACTTACACTGATTTGGATATTTACCAACAAGAAGCTTAGGAAGTTTGCTTTTGGAGCTGAGTAGCCAGGAAATTTTGAACTGCATATTGTTTTAGAGACAACAGCATCATATGTTAAACATGTTATTTAGATTTTGTTGGGATAGTCCTGGGGAAGGGGTGGGAAGATAGCTACATGGTTTGGTATTTATTGCTGCAAGCTAAAAGAAAAACATAAATGAAATCAAAAGCTCTTTCTTTCTAAAGTGACCTCCTAAAGCATTAGATGAAAAATCAAAGAGAAGAAAAGCATGGGTCATCAAACAGTTTTAGTAACAGTATGATTGATTCACTATTGAAAGAAATTATTTTTATCTTTCCATGTTGTGAATCCATAAAGTACCAAAGTGATTTTTTACTAGATTTCAAAGATACTACTAAAAGTTGATTTGCAATTCAACTGTTACAATAATTACTTCTGCTTGAACTTGTTAATAATTATTAAAGTATCTTGTCTGTAATACATAAGCAAAAACGTTTGATTAATCTCGACACTTAATTATCTCTCTTAGATTTCATCAATAACTTCAAATGACAAGAAAGAAAAATGTTTGATATCATTCAAGCTTAACAGCTTCTAATTAATAAACAAGAATCAGACAATTGTTTTAACCATAAACTGTCAAATTCATTTCTGAGAAGTTGATGTACAATAAAATTTGACAAAGCTGCTTCTTGGTTAGTCTTTTAAGAATGTTGTCAATGTTTAATTCCTGATCTATACAACCAAAAAGGACTATTCTCTTACAAGCAAAGATCATCACATGTTCAATCTTTTTGAAAAACCTTAAATCTTACAAGCACTTTATAAACTCTTTTAACCAGCTTTTGGAACTAGTTGATGAGTAAAAAAGTGAATTTTCCATTTGGGTAAGATGGATATGAAACTGAATGTGGAGAAAGGGGAGTGCAACTATCAGGAGGGCAAAAGCAGAGAATAGCAATAACAAGGGCGATAATTCGGAACCCAAAGATACTACTTTTGGATGAGGCAACAAGTGCATTGGATGTGCAATCAGAACAAGTTGTGCAGGAAGCACTTGATGGGACTATGGTAGGAAGAACCACCATTGTTGTGGCACATAGGCTTAACACTATCAAAGAGCTTGATTCGATTGATTATGTGTGTGAGGGCAAGGTCCTCGAGCAAGGAACCTATGCTCAACTTAGACACAAGAGAGGGCCTTCTTCAACCTTGCAAGCCATAAAAATCCAAACTTAGGTACCATAATTGTATAATTTTCATGTACAAACTAGAGTTCATCAAGAAATCTATAGGTCTTTTATTTATATATTCTATAAAAAAAATAGTATATGCCCTCTTTCATTATGAAAACGTTAATTCAGAATGATGGTTTCACATTCATAATTATCTAATCTGAAATTTAAAAGGGTTGTCCCATTTTTGTGGAAAGGTTAGAAGATTTTACTTGTACAATTTGAAAAGGGGTAAAATGGGAAATTTATTTATTTGAGGATACGGGAAGAAATTTATGGAGGGGGCAGAAAAAAAAACACTGCCAATTGGTTGGTCAATGTTTAGGCCCATGTGAGGTGTACTCGGTTTGAAAGCCCGTATTATATGTCCAAATGGGATTGTGCAACTGTTGTAAGAGTGTTACTTCTTCCATCACCACACAATGCTTTTTATATCTCTCCATTCCTTTTTTGTCACTATAAAATATTTAATTCATGGTAGTTAAAAAGTATTTACCTTCACCAACATCTACTCACTGTATCAATGCACCCCCAATATCTATGGACAGATTTCGAGATCCATTTAAATGTTTTACGGATACACCATCTGTTGTCGTCTTTCGCATTTCTCTTTTTCTTCATTTAACACATAATAGAGGCACATAGTAGCACCTAATACACGCATAGCACCCAATACACAGACAACACATATTCACATAGAATCTTGACCAAAATGGGAAATTGGGAAAAAAGGAAGAGGAGAATAAGAGAGGAAGAGAGAATAGTAAGAGTGTGGAGATGGGATGTGGTGTGCGACTGAGTGAATAAGAGAGTAAAAAATTAGGGTTTTAAAAAAAAAGTTAAAAAAGGTAAAGGGTGTGGGGGTGAGGGTGTGATGTGTGGCTGAGTGAATAAGAGAGTAAAATATTAGGGTTTTAAGAAAATGTTAAAAAATGTAAAGGGTAAAAATAAAAATGATATTTTTGAAATTAAAAAACATCGAAGAGGTGTAAGGAACCGTGTGTGGTGATGGAAGGAATAAGTCTCTTGTTGTAAAAGGATGCGACTCAGATCCAATATGAAATGTGTCATTCGTTTATACTAATGTTGAATACCTTTTAAATATATGTGGTATTCATGAATATTAGCATTATTTTAAAATATCCGTAAATAATTTTTAAATAAATATCATAAGATAAATATTTTTTTAATTGAGAAATGAATAGATATTATTCGTATCCTAATTATTATTTATATCAAAACCAAACTATTACTTTTATATTTTAGATTAAAAATAGCATCAATATCTTGTGTAAATTAAATTTATGATTTATTTCTTAACCACAATTCTAAAACATGAAAATTATGAGATCCTATATAAAGTACTTAACTTATGCTTATTATGAATTAATTAGTTACACTCCCATTTAATTAGTATTCAGTCTTTGAATAGTACAATTTACCTCCCATTTCTTTTAATTGAGGAAAACAAAATACCTTTCTTAAACAAACACGTTTTCATTATGAAAAAGCTAGTCTTATAATGTGTATCAGTTACAGTTATTTGTCACTGTTTTTCCCTGTGTAGTTAGTATCCATTGCATTACAGAATTTTTTTCAATTCAGTACTTTCTCACATAATTATGAAACTAGAACATAAGGTTAGGTAAAGGTGATTAGATACAACTGTTTAATGAGGTGGTTAAAGTCCACTTAAAGGTACATGCAAAATGATTAAAATAATCATTTATTTTAATTGGATGAGAAATTATATAAGGCATGTCGTACTAATTTTTTTTAATGTCAATGACATAAGAATTTTAAAGTAAATTTATAATTCATTTGACACAATATTCAATAAATAATTATTGTGGTTTAATTAATGATAGAGAATTTTCTTTAGTAAAATTTTTTGGATGGGTGATTACATACAACAAGTTATTTATTTATTATTATTATTATTATCACTATCTCATTAATAAAAGTAAGAATATATTATTGTTTTAAAAAAATTACTTAACAAAATCTAATCTTTATTACATTTTATGATTGTTTTATCAATTATAAATTAGACAGTGAACCAATAAGTTAATCATAGATTAGACGGTCAATCATTAGTGAAAAGTCCAAATCAAAAAATTATCAACAAAATTGAATGGTCGAAAAATCAGACCGATCGAGCTAATTAATAAATGTTAAATCAACTTAAAAATAAAATATGATTAGAACCAATTAAATTGTAATCATTCTATCATTAATTACAAAATCATTCAAAAAAATATAAATATAAATTTAAGATAATGAGATAAATTATTTAAATTTATTTATCACTAATATTCAAACTATAAAAACTAACTTTGACGTGCCTTCTATAATTTTCAATTGATTTGGACGAACGGCTAAAAAGAAAGGTTGGAACGAACAATTACAAAAATTTAAACAAATGGCTAAATAATCCTTAAATATTAGAAAGACTGTATAGATGTTGACTTCAACCCTACCACTCAAAATCATAAAAAAAAAAAAAAAAACTTTTGGTTCAAATATTTATTTGCGAAAGAGAAGAAAATGTGGCACACTTTTTCTACACAATAGCACAGAAATTGTGGTCACGGAAATTAGAAAAAAACGAGTTAATAAAAAAGGTACTTAAAGCGTCCAAAAAAGTATACCGTGTGTTGATTGATTTGACAGGTGGCGCCCATATAGCCTCTAATCATGCATGCCATAGCAAGTTTTAAACTATTATTTAACAAAATAGAAAGTTTGTTCAATGATAATGAGTATTTAGTACAAACTTTATATTATATTTTCTAATACATGTTTTTTTTATTTATTCAAGATATAAAATCTTCAGAAAGTTAATTAACTATAATCTAAGATCTACAACATTTTCTAATTTCAACAATAATTACGTTTTAAATATTTCATAAGTTTTGATATTTTAAATAAAGTCTTTATAAATAATTATTTTATTTAGTGTTTAAAATAATTTTTTAAGTATTCTATTATTTTCTTCGTCAATAAATATAGCTTATATTATTGTATTTTTATCTTTAACTCATCAATCGACTAATTTACGTATTTTTTAATCTTTTTCAATTTGTTGGTTAACTCATTCTTAACAGGGAAAGAAAATTATCAATTGATTTATGTTTCTTTTATTTAATATTTTTAACTTGCTGGTCAACTCATTTATTTTATTTAGTGTTTAAAATAATTTTTTAAGTATTTTATTATTTTTGTCGTTAATAAATATAACTTCTATTGTTGTATTTTTATGTTTAACTCATCAATCAACTAATTTTTTATTTTTTAATCCTTTTCAATTTGTTAGTTAACTCATTCTTAAAAGAGAAAGAAAATTATCAATGGATTGATGCTTGTTTTATTTAATATTTTTAACTTTCTGGTCAACTCATTGCTAATGTGTAACTATTTTTGGTCTAAATATATCTCCTATGTCACCTAATGATTATATTATATTAGTGGTATCCTAACATTCTATAGAATAAATTTATTTATTTATTTAATATTATCATTCTTTAGTTGGATATTTTTAACCACTTTGTTTAATAATTTATTGTTATTTAATTTACATTTATATATTTGTTATTTTTAATTATACTTATTATTTTCATTTGATTGATAACTAAATATTTTCTTTTCACAATTTGTTCTTAGTTGTTATACTTGCATATAAAAGTAATCATAAAAAATACTCAAGATTCAATAAAACTATAGTTTGAGGTTTAATCATATATATTTAAATGAGTAAATATTAATTAAATCAATAATCTTTAGTTATTTTGTTAATCATGATAAAACTTGTTTATTTCGATTAAATATATTTTATATTATATTTTTTTTCGATTTTTTTGTCACTTGTATATA